CAGGAATGCTTCTCCGGTTTTTAGATCTTAATTTTTTTTTCAACAAGGAGGGAATATTTCTTTTTAAGTTTTTTGGTTGCTTTAAAAGAATTAACACACTTTACATTTTAGCAGTTTTAGGTTTTCTGCTCCATAGAAAATGGAGCAGACGGTACAGAGAGTTCCCATTACACCCCACACACATACACAGTTTCCCGGCAGTGAACATCTTCCATTTGTTATAAAGGGTGAACCAATGTCGATACATTGTTACTAACTGAAGGCCATGGTTTACATTAGGGTTCACTCTTGGTGGTGTACCCTCTGTGGGTTTTGATGAATTCATGACATGTATCTACCATTGCAGTTTCGCTGCCCTAAAAATCCTCTTTGCTCCCCAGATTCGTCACTTCCTCCCACTAGCACCTGGCAACCTCTGATCTTTTACTGTCTCCATCGTTTTGCTTTTTCAGAATGTTGTAGAGCTGGTTAGAATCATACAGTGTTGGGCCTTAAAAGTTCCTCCGTGTGTTTTTATGCTTTTCAACGTTTTTATTTATTTATTTATTTATATTTTATAAATGTATTTATTTTTATTTATTATTTTTGGCTGTGTTGGGTCTTCGTTGCTGCGTGCGGGCTTTCTCTAGTTGCAGCGAGCAGGGGCTACTCTTCGTTGTAGTGCACGGGCTTCTCATTGCGATGGCTTCTCTTGTTGTGGAGCACGGGCTCTAGGCACGCGGGCTCAGTAGTTCTGGCTCGCGGGCTCTAGAGCGCAGGCTCAGTTGTGGCACACGGCTTAGTTGCTCCGCGGGCTTAGTTGCTTCCCGGACCAGGGCTGAAACCCGTGTCCCTTGCATTGGCAGGCAGATTCTTAACCACTGTACCACCAGGGAAGCCCCCTTTTTAAGGTTTTTTGTTGTGATTTTGAGGGGAGTGGAATTAGGTGCTATACAGAAACTTGTAGAAAGCTGTTTTTTAAAAAACTTTTGAATCGTGTAATCCCAGTAAGTACCACAACAATATGAGTGAAGATTACGTGTATTATATCCAATACCACATCTGGAGACCCTCTGCTGGCGATCTTCAGAGATAAATAAGCCTTTTGTTGAACATTTTCTGGCTGGGCACACAGTGGTGCTGGTCAGGGTGCACTATGCAGTAACACTTGGTGGACTTCTACTCCCGAGTCCTTTCCTGCTGGGGATGCTTTGGGGGACCCATGACTTCCGGTGTTTGACTGAGCATCCCTTTGGCCCCAGCTTGTAGGAGAGCTCCTAGGAGAAAGTTTTTATTTTTTTCATTAAAAAAATTTGAGGGGGGCTCACCACATGACTTGTGGGATCTTAGTTCCCTGACTAGGGATTGAACCTGGGCCCTCGGCAGTGAAAGCACGGAGTCCTAACCACTGGACATCCAGGGAATTCCCCAGGAGAAAATTTCTGATTCTTTTCTCCCCAGGAGAAAGTGGTGATTCTGAGAAGGGGAAGGGCAGGGCAGTGAATGAGGGTTGTCACTGATGTTCTGGGAATGAGAAGAAGGTTCCAGGTCTGAGAGTCTGAGCGAGGTGGAGGGCGGACTGGCAGAGGACCTGATGCCTGTGGGGATGAGCGCGTGTCAGGACTTCTAGAGGGGCGATGGGAAAGTCGCAGAGAGCAGGCGCCAGCGGAATGATAAGCATGGTCTCTGCTGTGCCTTCTCCGGCCCTCCCTTCTCCTCCAACTCTTGGCCTTAATAAGATGATGGAGAAATAGGTCTTTTGTTCAGACTCTTATCAGAAAGGTTAGAAAATCAAGAACAAAAGCCACTCTGTTTTGATATCTGACTGTGAAAAACCCAGCAAGCACTTCCTGAACTTTGCCCCCCTTGCCAGCTAGAGCAGCAGGTTTAATGGAGCATATCTGGGAGTGGGTTAAACTCCTTCCGAGACAGTGATGTACCTTCAGGTGGACACACAGGTTTTGCAGAACCTCAGCACGGTGGGCAAATAGAAGGCTGCTGGAAGCTGACGACCAGTCTGGACAGAGTCCCCAGCGCTCCAATTCCATGGAAAGGCTGTCTCCACGAGCGCGCCCTTCCTGGAGCTGGTGTGAGGAGCCAGGCCCTGGCCAGGCTGGCATCTAAGGGTAAGAGGAGACTGTGGACACCGGCCACGGTCTGCCCGGCAGCTTGTTCCCCTTGGAGGGACCATGACCAGACAGCGAGGGCCCCAGGCAGGCCTGGGCGCCCTCGAGCCCCTCACTGATGGCCGTGAGCACGGGCTTCCTTGCCCACCCGCTGGCCCAGCGTTTGTTAACTGGTGAGGAAACACAGCCAAGCTTTCTAATGTGTACTTTGATTTCCACATGAGCTTATCCTAACATGTAATTTATAATCATTTTTAAGTTGGCGGCATAGACGGTGGGCTGGCAAAGCGAGGTCCTGTCTGGCGGCACATGGGGGCTGCTGGGGTGCCTCTCTGAGCCTTCGGTGTTCCTCCAGTGGACCACACTCACAGACAGTTTTCTGCCCTCTTAAAAGGCAGGTGTTCACCCGCCTGCCCTAGAAAACTATCTGGCTTGCTGAAATTTATTCAGGACAGCCTGGACTTCAGGGGGTGAGCAGGTGGGTAGTGTCTGTGAAACGAGCTGGCCCTGTCCTCCCGGTCTCCTTGGCCCTCTCTGGGCCTTGCCCTGGGGTCCTCTTGGAGCCTCTGGGCCTCCTGCCCCTGGGGCTGCTCTGTGTGCCCCGGGGTCGGGCTTGCTTTAGGAATGAGGATGGAAGGTGAGCATGTCTGCTTGCGAGGTGTGGGTGCAGTCCGGTTTGCATGGCATCTGCCTCGTCTTGCATTGTGAGGAATTACTTCCACCCTGAACCGTCCTCCAGGCCCCAGGGAGGGTTCCGGCTGCAGCCGGCCTCAGCAGCATGACTGCGGGTGAGGCCAACAGGCCTATGCTCTGGGCCTCCCCAAGCTGGCCGGCGCTTCTGCGCACCCCGCTGCCTGCGAGGACCGGGGCCACACTGGCCAGAGGAGCCTCTGCTGGAAGTGGTGGTGGTTGGCTGTCTAAACACTGACCTCAAGAGTCACGTTCTGTCCCCTACAGGAAGCCATCTCTGAGGCCCCCAGTCCAAGTCCAAGATCCGCCTGCTTCCGGGTCGAGGGCAAGCAGAGGGGAGGGGAGGGCTCCGGGCAGCTGTCCCTCGGCCCAGGAGCAGCAGGCCCAGCCTCGCACATGGCGGAGCCTGCCTGGCTCGGACAGTGTCCCTACCTGCAGGCTGAGCCCAGAGCCACCTGCTTGGTGGTGAGGAGAAGGAGAGTGGAGGCCTCTTGAAGGGATTTCCTGATTTCAGATTTTGAAGTGAACGCTCTTTGTGAATTACTTAGTTGCCTGAGATTCCAAGGAATATCGGGTTTTCCCTTGGAAATAAGGAGCGTCATGGAATGCGTGCAGTAGGTACCTCGGGTGCCTTCCCTGCTTCATTCTGTCCTATGTGCAGGAGGCGGGGGTTGCACCACCTATGACACGTGAGCCCCCGGCTTTCAGGCTCTGTTCTCACACCCGCCTGTGTGATCTCTAAGTCTTGAGTGGTTACGACCTCTTGAGATCAGCTTTGCAGCCCCTGATATACAAATGAGGCAGCACAGCTCGGATGCTCGAGAGCCCGGGCTGGGGTCACACGGCTGGTGGACGGCAGACCGAAGATGGGCCCTGGGTCTCCATCGGGCGCAGGTACGGAGACAGCCGTCAGGGACCCTCTTGCCCGCCCCCCGCATCTTGTGACACCAGAGCCCGAGGACAAAGTGCACCGTCTCCAGTTGCTTCTCTGAATTCTAACTTGTTTGCAAATTGTTAACCTCAGACTCTTTCGAGCATGAAAGGTTGGCTACTTCTCCTAACCAATCAAGTTGCACTTCAGTTAAAGCTGAGATTGTAAATTGAAAATGGCCTGTTTAATGGTTCTTCAGTTTTAAGTTCATTTGGACAATCCACAAGTATCTACTGTCTGCTGTACGCTCAGCCCTGTGCTCGGTACTGGGTCCACAAGAGTAAAGAAACAAAGATGTGTTGAGTGGGAAAGTAGACCTTTTTTAAATTAATTATTTTTGGCTGTGTTGGGTCTTTGTTGCTGCGCGCGGGCTTTCTCTGGTTGCAGAGAGCAGGGGCTGTACTCCTCGTTGCAGTGTGCGGGCTTTTCACTGCGGTGGCTTCTCGTTGTTGCGGAGCACAGGAGGGCTCTAGGCGCACGGGCTTCAGTAGTTGTGGCATGTGGGCTCAGTAGCTGTGGCTCATGGGCTCTAGAACGCAGGCTCAGTAGTTGTGGCACATGGGCTTAGCTGCTCTGTGGCATGTGGGATCTTCCCGGACCAGGGATCGAACCTGCGTCCCCTGCATTGGCAGGCGGATTCTTAACCCCTGCGCCACCAGGGAAGTCCGGGAAAGTAGACATTTAACCAGAAAACATAATTGGTCAAATAATGGATGAATTTGTATTTTGAGGTTAGACCACGTAATTGAATTTCAAAGCAATAGCTTGCACGTACAGAGCAGATATTGATGGGGACTTTTTAAAAGGCATAGTCTTACACTGTTGAACATTAGTTCCTGGGGTAGAATTCATTCCAGTGCTGGAAAGCCACAAAACGGGCTGTTCTGGCATGTATCCTGTGATGTTGGGATACTTTGTGTCCATTTTAGGCATATTTCTATAACTAAGTTTAAAAATCACTCCAGTCATTTTTTCTGCTCTTGAACATGTGCCTATTTTTCATTTTTGAAAATACTGAAGTGTTTTGTAACCTACTGTTTCTGCTTAGAAGTACAGGAGGGACATCTCCCAGGTGCAAGCTCCCCCTCCACGGCATCCTTTCCCAGGCCCCGGGACTGACTCTTGGCTCTCTCTCCTAGGCCAACGAGGTGACAGACAGCGCATACATGGGCTCCGAGAGTACCTACAGTGAGTGTGAGACCTTCACGGATGAGGACACAGGCACCCTGGTGCCCCCCGAATGCCTGGACGCCACGGAGGAGCCCGGCCACGGTGCCCTGCTGCTGCTCCCGGGCAGGTCTGTTCCTATCTACATGGCCCGGGGCTGATGGCAGATGGGTTCATGGTGGGGTTCATGTTGGGTGATCCAGAGGGGAGTGTGAGCCTGTGGAGGGCTGCGGTCCTGGGAAGAGCCTGCGCCCAGCTGACCGTGCAGCATCCATCAGGAGGTACTCCTCTGTACAGATAGGAATCCTAGGAGAAAACGTTCGCTTGGTCTTTTGGATTTTGTCATCACAATTCTTATGACCCAGGGCGAGATACATTTCAAACGTCTTCATCTTTATGGCACCCTGACTCCATGTGTTTGAGGACAGTGAGGGGGAAGGGCCGGCTCAGAGAGGCCAGGTGCCAGGTGGCCCATGTGGGCCCAGGTGATGGCTGGCGGTTCTGCCCTGGACTCCCCAGTAGGCCTTGAAACTGGAATTTTGCTTATTTTATTTCGTTTTGTTTCTTGTTTGGCCCCTGCAGAGCTTGTGTTTTTCCTCCCTAATTGAAGACAGCATGCCTATCCCAGGCGCCAGCCCTCCCGCCGCCCGCACCCCCCACCCCCACCCCGCACCGGCTCCTTCCCTGGTACCCTGGCTCCTGGTTTGTTCCTCACTCAAGGGTCATCACACAGTGTGTATCCTTTCTCCACCTGGCTTCTCCCACTTGGTGTCGTGGCTGTGAGATTTATCCGTGTCTGTGTGCACCGTTGTGAGTGGTTTATTCTGGTTATTATTGAGTGTTCCACTGTGTGAATGCCCGCAGCTTCTTAATTTCCTGTCAGTGGGCATTGGGGCATTGGGTTTGCTCAGTTTTGGTTTCATGAATAAAGCTGCTGCCTGTAAGCAATCATGTCTTTTGGTGGCCGGGTTTGTTCCTCGGTGGCGTAGGGCGCACCTGGGGCACAGGCTCCTCTGTAGGGGTTACTGCAGGTCAGACACTTACAGGTGGGGTTTGGTAGCTCCCTGCCTGCCAGCCGCCTGCGGGTTCCAGCTGCTCTCCATTCTCGCAGCGCCTGGCATCCTCCGCTTCTTCACGCCTGTTGTCTGAGGGCGCGCAGAGCAGGTGGTCCTCACTTGGGTTTCCCAGGTGCCTGACGGGGGCAGTGCCTTTCTTGCACTGGCTGCCCATGTGGAGACCCTCTCCTGTGCGGTGCCTGTTCCAGGCTTTCGCCCCTTTGTTGATTGCAGGACTCTGCAAGCTTTTCCGTAGAGGCCAGATAATAAACAGGCTCGTGGCCCGATGGTCCCAGCACTGCTTCTCAGCTCTGCATTGGCTGCCTCTGCGGATACAGGCGGTGGGTGGATCTGGTCTCCCTGGGTCCCGTGGGCCGTCTTTTCCTCCGTCTTCAATTGTGGGAGCTCTTCCTCTGTCTCAGGGGACTCCTTTGTCCCGGGTGTGTTGCAGGCATCTTTTTCCGCCTCTGCAGGTCATCTTCTCACTTCTCTGGGGTGTCTGAGAACAGACGTTTTAAATTCTACTGTAGTCCAGTGTATCTGTTTGTCTTTTGTGGTTGGCGCGTCTGTGTTCTGCTTCAGAGGTCTCTGCTTACTCCACATCACTGTGACGTTTACTTCTGCTTTTCTTTAACAGCTTTATTGTTTTGCCTTTGTTTTCAGCTCTTTCATATCCTCGTAAGGGAGTTTTTGTGCATGGTGTGAGGCGGGGGTCATTTTTCCTGTATAGATGTCCATCAGCTCAGGCTCGGTTTTGAAGCTCCCTCCTTCCTCATTGCCCCACAAGGTGGCCGAGTGCATGGGCTGTGCTGGACGCCCTGCTTGGCCCTGTGTGCCCTGTGCATCGCTCAGTCCTTCTGCTCCAGGCTTGTCGCCTGCTGGTCCTGCCGTTCGGCCATGTGCACCCTCCAGCCTCGCTCTACAAGGCTGCGTTGGCACCTTTGGCCTTCACATTTCCATGTGGATTTTATATAGATTCAGCTTGTTAGTCTCTGGAAAAAAGTACCTGCTGGGATTTGGGTTGGGATTTTGCTGGATCTGTAGATTATTTGGGCAGAACCAACATCTTGTCCCTATGGGTCTCCCAGTCTTTGAACATAGTTTATTGCTCCATTTATTGTGGTCTTTCCTTGATTGCTGTGGTGTGGGGTGACCGTCTGGTAGGGAAGGGGACGTCATGCATGCGCGTTCGGCCATTGGGCTCTGTTGGGACTGGAGGAACACCTTCCAGGGCCACCAGGGGCCAAGCCCAGCGTGTGGAGATGGGAGCCCAGAGTGGCTTGTAGTGACCAAGGAGGGAGGTGTGAGGGTAGAATACGTGGGGCTGGGGATGCCACGTTCGCTGTAGCTTCCTGATCAGTACTTTTTTTTTTTTTTAAAAGAATATATTTATTTATTTATTGGCTGCATTGGGTCTTCGTTGCTGCGTGTGGGCTTTCTCTAGTTGTGGTGAGCGGGGGCTACTCTTCGTTGCGGTGCGCGGGCTTCTCATTGCGGTGGCTTCTCTTGTCACGGGCCCTAGGTGCACGGGCTTCAGTAGCTGTGGCTCAAAGGCTCTAGAGTGCAGGCTCAGTAGTTGTGGCACATGGGCTTAGTTGCTCCACGGCATGTGGGATCTTCCCGGACCAGGGCTCGAACCCATGTCCTCTGCATTGGCAGGCAGATTCTTAACCACTGTGCCACCAGGGAAGCCCCTGATCAGTATTTTTTAAGGTAATAGGTAAGTTCTTTTAAATTTCTTTAAATATTTATTTATTTATTTGGTTGCACTGGATCTTAGTTGTGGCTCGCGGGGTCCTTAGCTGTGGCATGTGGACTCTTAGTTGCGGCATGCATGTGGGATCTAGTTCCCTGACCAGGGATTGAACCTGGGCCCCCCGTATTGGGAGCGTGGAATCTTAACCACTGCACGACCAGGGGAGTCCCTAAGTTCTAGAAAATTCAATTTGGGTCAAGTAATCAAACTTGAAGTGTCAAATCTGGGAAACCATTATGAGGTCTTAGTTTTTCTCTGGAAGTTTCTAGGCTCTGGGCTGTTTTGCTGCTTAAGCAATGACTTGCCCTCAGGATTCGTTGAAGTCACGTTGGTGTCAAATGAGAAAATCTTGAATTGCCGCGAGGTTGCCGGTTATAATCTAGTCACCCGTTTTTTGTCGATGCGGTGCGTGATGGCTGCGTGGTCTGCCCCGGGTCCCCAGCACCAAGCGTGCATCCCCTTTGACATGAGGACAGGCGCTGGGCTCCTCGCCGCCCACGGGCGTCCACGTCCGGCCCATGGAGGCTGTGCATGGTCCCTCTCACTTCGGGGGCAGCTTCCTCTCCCAGGGTCTGGGCACGTGGATCCACGAAGCAGCTCATCTACAGAAACAGAAAGCAGCTTAGTGTGAAATGGTGTCTGTTGGAAGGAATCATTTCTTCCTGTCTCTGTGTGAGAAGGTGAGGGCTGGTAGCAGGCGGGAGGCAATCAGACTCGGACACACTCTTCAGAGAGCAGTCGGACATTCCGAGACCATTGCGGTCAGGTGCCTCGGGGAGCTTGCGCTGCGTGTCGTGCGACTGTGGGTCTGGGCAGCGGACAGAGACTGGCCCCTCCTGACTACCAGGCCTGCCCCTCTGAGGGGGCAGCTCCTGAGCCTGCTCACAGGATCTCAGGGGGTGGGGGGGATCCGTGGTGAGGTGGTGGCCCGGCCCCGGGGCGGGGAGCACCTGCCATGTGCCCAGGGTGCAGCAAACACCAGATTTGAAAGCTTATTATGACACAAGGACATAGATAATATAAAGATCTTGTTTTGGAAGTGATGATTTTGGGTATGTTGGGCCAAGTGAAGTCCATTGTTAAATCAGTTTCACCTGTGCATTTACCTTCCCTACCGTGGCTGTTAGAACACGAACTCACACGTGTGGTCACTGCACGTTTCTGCTGGAGACTCAGGTCACGCCTGCAGCTCTGGGGTGCCCGCAGCCCATGTCGGCAGCTGACACTCGTTTGCCTCTGCAGGTCCCACCTGCACAGCCAGTCGGTCGTCACGGTAATAGGAGGCGAGGAACATTTCGAGGACTATGGTGAGGGCAGTGAGGCGGAGCTGTCCCCAGAGACCCTCTGCAACGGGGAACACGGCTGCAGAGACCCCGTCTTCCTCACCCCCAGGTAAGAACACTGCACCAGGGCCCTGTCTCTTCACGTTCTGTTAAGGGGAAGGGTCCCCTTTTGGTTCACAGAGAACTTGTTTTATTCACTGTAATGTAATTGAACAATGCCACAGTCAAAATTTTAAGATTTCTATCGGGATAACAGTTGGCTGTGGTTCCTCTCATCGGTTATGGTCCCAGTCACTCCCCGTTTATGGGGCCTCAGCCAAGTGCCAGGGCACAGAGCTGGGGTTGGGAAACTCGGCTTTACGGGTTTCACAGTGCTGTTTGTGGATCACATTGTGGTTTGCATTGAGCTTGAGGGAGGCTGTGTGTGTGTGTGAGAGTGTGAGTGTGTGAGAGGGAGGCTGTGTGTGTGTGTGTGTGAGAGTGTGAGTGTGTGAGAGAGAGAGTGTGTGTGTGTGAGTGTTGACACCCTGCTCAGCAATCTCAGTCTTGCTGTGCAGGTGGATCTCGTCCTGCACTTCCCTTTGTGTTTTTTACTCTCTGAAGGCCTGGGGAAGCCCTGCATCATTTTTCCAAAGCCATTGCTTGCACTGTGTCTCTGTGTCACATTATGGTAATTCTAACAATATTTCAGACTCTCATTATAATTGTTTGTTGTGGGAATCTGTGATCAGCAATCCTTGACGTGACTGTTGCAAAAGGATTACAGGGCTTCCCTGGTGGCACAGTGGTTAAGAATCCGCCTGCCAGTGCAGGGGACACGGGTTCAAGCCCTGGTCCGGGAAGATCCCACATGCCGTGGAGCAACTAAGCCCGTGCGCCACAACTACTGAGCCTGCACTCTAGAGCCTTTGAGCCACAGCTACTGAAGCCTGCACACCTAGAGCCTGTGCTCTGCAACAAAAGAAGCCACCACAACTAGAGAAAGCCCATGCACAGCAACAAAGACCCAATGCAGCCTAAAATAAATAAATAAATAAATAAATTTTAAAAAAGAATTAAAAGGAGCTCCTCTCCCCAACAGGGAGCAGCCTTCTACTTAGGAAAAAAAAAAGGATCACAGCTCCCTGAAGGCCTAGATGCTGGCGAGCATTTTTTAGGAATAAAGTATTTTTTAGTTAAGGTATGCATGCACATGGGTTTTTTCTTTTCTTTTTCAATTTTTAATATTTTAATTTTTTGGCTGTGCCTTGTGGCTTGCGGGATCTTAGTTCTCCGACCAGAGGGCGAACTCGTGTCCCCTGCAGTGGAAGCACAGAGTCCTAACCACCAGGGAATTCCCTACGTTGTTTTCTTAGATGTGATACTTTTACACACTTATTGGACTACGGTACAGTGTAAACGTCACTTTTACATGCACTGGAAACCAAAAACTTCACATGACTCACTTTATTGCACCACTCACTTTATTGCGACGGGCTGCAGGTGAACCCGCAGTATCTCCAAGGTCTGATTGCACGGTGTTATCATCTGTGGTGTCCTCCGACCTTATTCCTCTTGCTGAAAGTATGTGCCCTTCGACTGGCCTCTGAGGGAGGTTTAACATCACAAATGGCTTTTCAGATTCATTTTCTTATAATCACCTGACATCCCCAAACTCTGGAAAATTCTGGCTTTGAATAAACTCAACTGTGGCATCTAAAGGGCAGGACCTTCGCTCACGGAGCTGGCTCCTGCCCGGCTCTCCTGCCTCTTCAGGCTGCAGGAGGCCCTGGGAGAAAGCGCCCACCCTCGTATCCAGGTCAGGGGATGTGCCAGCCCCTCGGGGAGACCCTGGCCTGGTTGGACAGCCTGCACATGTTAGTCACCTCTCCCTTCTGCCCCCAGTTCTGGAAATTCTCCAGCTGTGCCAACAGCAGAGGCCGAGGGCCTGGGCGGGGGCCAAGCCAGCAGGGCTGCCTGACACGCTCCAAGTGGTGCTGCCCTGAGGGCCAGGCTGTGGCCCCGCGGGGCATGTGTCTCCCCATTTTGGTGATCTCTCCATTTGTTCCGTGTGTCCGTCCCTCATCCCATGTCCGCAGGGTTGCTTCTGCGCTACGATTGATGTCTCACTTTAACTTTTCTGTAGCCTGGGGTCCTAATGCCCGCAAGACGTGGCTGCCATTACCACTGCCCTGAAAGCCCACTGAGATTAGGTCGTGGCGCGGCTAACGGAATTATGAGTTTTTAACGGAAGTCATCCACCCATAGTTCTTGGTTCTGGTGGTTCATAGACAGTTACTGACAGGGTTACAGGACAGAAAGTAAGACGCCCCCTGGCCGTGTGCGTTGCTCTCGCGCTGATGTGTTTCTGACAAAGGAGGATGCAGTGTGTCCAGTCATTTACTTCTTGGCAAAGCAGGGTTCTTCTTTTACAACGAGCCGCGGGGCTGCGCCTGTGTCTTCTGAGAGCCTGACCAGGAAGGTGCCCCCAGCCTCTGCACCGGGTGTTGCAGATCCCGGAGGTGGTGCCGAGGGTGACAGAGGCCTCCGTGGCATCTGCCTGACAGCTCACCCTGTCCAGCCACCCGATCCTTGCTCTCTCCTGAAGCCACACCTCTCGTCCCTCCAGCGCTGACCCGCTTGCCGCCAAGCTGCACAGCATCCTCACAGATGAGGCTTTTGAGTTTTACTGTAGCCAGTGCCACAAACAAATCAACCGCCTTGAGGATCTTTCTGCTCGCCTGAACGATCTTGAAAAGAATAGGTAACCTGTGCGGTGCCTGGCCTGCTCTCTGTCCCAGGGGAGGCAGACTCCGCCTGCCCGCAGCCGCCCCCACTGCCCTGGCCCAGGTGCCACTCCCTGTGCCTGGCCCACTCCAGGGGCTTCTTCCAGAGGCCGGGCAGATGTGCGGACAGCTGACTCTTCTCCGGCCCCTGCCCTGCATGTGCTGTTCCTGGTCTGGTGCCCTGTGTGCATGCCACGGTCCAGTCCCCTGCCTCTGCCCTGCCTGAGGACAGCCAGCATGTGGGAGAAAGTCTGCTTTTGGAAAGATGTGCTTTCTCTGTTTTACTAAAAGGTGTTTGAAGTTGAGAGTCACAAGAAGGAGCACTGGGAAATCTAAAGTGAGAGTAGGTCTTCAGTGCAGACTTGTGAGCAGCTTTCCGGGGCGTCAGTTTGAATCGGGGTGAGCCCTGCCCTGAGCTGGTCTCCAGGAGGCTGTGCAGCCTCCGTCAGCGGCAGGGTCACTGGCTGCTCTGTCCCCGGAACGGGCCGCTGGGCCCAGCATGCCTGCTGCTCTTCGCCTCTCCCTCTCCTCATCTCCTGGTTCCCTCTCCGCCCCCTGTACCCACCCCCAGTCAGAGTCCCAGGAGGAGGCACCTGGCTCCTCACAGCCTCACAGGCTCCAGCTGCAGGAGACATTTTGGGTGGTTTGCACATGCTGACGTGTCCGTTAGGCAGATTGCTGATTAGCGTGTTGTGTGGAGGAGAGATGGGCCCTCGTGCGGCACACCCCACAGCCCCAGCCCAGCGGAGGGAGTGAGGGACTGCCAGGCGCTCTCGTGCGGGCAGCAAGGAAGGGGTGGGACATGCCGACCAGTACTGTGGGCTCCCTTGCAACTTCCTGGAGGCAGGGGCCTTGGACTGGTGGGAGTTGCATGGAAGGTGAACCATCCTAATGGTTTTGGCATGTACGCTTCCTCCTGGGCCTGCCGTCTGCCCTTGGGGCTTGGCCTCGGCCGCTCAGTCTGCCTGGTGGGCCCTGCGACCGACAGCCAGTAGTGTCCTGGTGCTGGTTCAGCCCTTCCTCCTGCACTTGTGTAGCTCAGAGCTTGGGCCGGGGTCCAGCCAGCACCTGGTCAGGTGAGGGATAGGGCCGATCGGCAGCTTCAGAGGGGAGCTGGGGGTGCCAGCAGCGCTGAGGAGAACTGGAGGTGCTCTTTGAGGGAGACCGGGGATTCCAGAGACCTGCCAGCCTCCCTTTACCCCTCATGTTCAGCCCAGTGCTCAGCACTCCAGGATGGCCGCTCAGCCTGGCGGGGATGGTCATTTGTCCTTCCCGAGCGGGGACCTGCCTTCCCCGTATCTCAACTCTCACCCTCCGAAGGTTCTTGATGTGGAAGTGATCTTTTCCCACATTGAGGACCTGCCCCAGGGTGGCCACAGTCGCCTCTGCTAGGCTTTGTGGGGCAGAGAACAGACTGGGACGTGGCCGAGTCCAGCCAGCAAGTCCAGGGGGTCTCACGTCCAGTTTCAGCCACCTGTTCCCTAAGACAGGCACTAACAAGGGGGTTAACATGCCATCAGAACCCTCGTTATAATCAGTCAGGAACTTTCCCCTACACACTCACTTAAGGAGATGTGAATCTTACCCATTGGTTTCCATGGAATTGCCTCAAAATAAACGTATTTGGTCATGCTTTGTGGTTGGTGAAAGGTGATTTAGTCCAAACCATATTCAGACAGCAGCTTTGACATCTGATATAATTTCTACCCATTGAACCTCAGAACATACATATTTTCCACATACCTGGGAGCCTCTGTAAAACGGTTCATTTTGTAGAAACTGAGAAGTCTGCTTTACCTAGAGGTGCAAGTGATGCCAGCCCCTGAAGGGGGACAGTACACTGGACAGTGGTCTGTCCTTTCCTCTTGCTTCAGGATGAAATTAGACTTGTGTTAAAATGTATAGCATCAGTCAGGGCCCAGTCAGAAGAGGGGACCACACAGTAACTTGAATAGGAAAGTTTAATAGAGAGTGACCATTGTAACCGGGGATTGGAGTAACCTGGCATTGGCTGGGAGGAGAGCTCAGGAGCCGACGGGGCAGCAGCTGTGAGGGAGGAACCGGCTGCAGAGGGCGTAGCCGCACCTTCTAAAACTCGCAGAAGTCTGCCCTCTGGCTGCCAGGAAAGCTGTTCGCTGGGAGGGGTCTGACCAGAGGGACTCCCACCACGGAACTGCCTGGGAGGTGTCAGGGGCAGCCGCCCAGGTGGGATTCGGGAGTGTGGGGATCAGGGCTCAAGTTCAAACCCTGGTGCTGCCCAGGCAGCAGGGGCACCTGGAAGCAGGCCATTTCCTGGGTCCCTGTCCAGCACCCTCTGCCGACGCAGCATCACAGGGGCCAGGAGCTGGTAGGCAGGACGAGCCCAGAGCGGAGAGGCAGTGCGTTGGTAATGGGTACAGTTGCTGGTGATGGGAACAGCGTGTCTCCCCAGACAGGGTTTCTTGCCCCAGCCTGAGGGGGTCACAGTAACTGACGGGTGTGTGTCTGTCTGGCCGTGACGCTATTTTTGTCCTCATAGGTTGAAGCTAATGGTTTAGCAGTTAAATTGGGAAGCAAACGGGTACGGTAAGCTTGGCCCTTTTGCCACTGCAGGTGATCACGTCAGGCAGGCGACATGGGGCTGACTTTCCTGTCCTGAAACGGTGGCAGGAAAGCTTTGCAAGTCTCTGCGCAGCTGGGCTGGTAGAGGTTGAAGTGTCAGGGCCAGAGTTAAAATTGACAACAGAGCTTTCCTGTACACATGGGCCCGTGTCATGCCTTGTGTGGAGCCCCTGACGGCCGAGCCTTTGGAGGGCAGTGTGGCTCCAAAATCACTTGGGACGTGCCGTTGGCCGATGGCTTGAACCCAGCATGGCCACCTGTGGGTCCAGGCGCTGGGGCCAGCCCCTGAACCGAGGCCCGGTTGTGACACCATCTGAAACTTCCTTGAGGGCTGGGACCAGGTGACAGGCCCCTGAGATTGTCCCCGTGCCCCTGAATGTTTTGCTGAGCGAGCCTTTCCGTGCATGGAGCTGGCCTCGGAAGCGGGTGCTGCATGCCTGCGGACGCGCCCCCGCCCCATATCTCTTTCGCCTGAGTTTCCTGCTTCCTCTCCATCCTCCCTGTCTGTTCTCTGACACCGTTTTCCTGTTTGTTTTGATTTCTGCAGTCCATCGAAGCGGCTCTCCAGCAAGAAGGTGGCAAGGTAGGAACCCTGGGTGCCCACTGAGGTGCTCTTCTGAAATGTGTCACTGGTCACAGTGCTTTAAAAACTTGTTTAGAAAATACTATTTTCAAGGTATTTTTAAAAAAACTTCTGAAAGTTACTTCTCATGGTTTGGGATTGAAAATAGTTTGAGGGGACGGGTTGTAAAAAGAATTTCCAAAGCAGTAGATTTGGACCTGGGTTTGTGGCTGGGGGTCCGTGTTGGAAACTTTTGTCCTTCCTCCTGTTCAGTTGAGTCTTTCCCATGTGAAGGCTGTAGGCTAACCTGGTGGGGAGGGTCAGCGGGGGCCTTGATGCCACAGCCCGGGTCTGGGTCCACCTCCTTCAAGGGCTGTGTGTCCTTTCCACCCCTGCTGGCTCCCCAAGGTGAGGAGGAGGTGGAGGAGCTTCTAAAGAACAAGCGTTGGTGACCATTTCTTCATTTTTCAGTTTTGGGAGCTGCCCACTGGCTTCCTGCAGTGAGAGGTAACAGCACATGCGTTCACCCCTCCTGCCAGGCCCGCTCTAGGCTTGTAAGACGCCAACATTCTTCACAGGAAGCCATGTGATGTGTTACTGGATTTCCTTTCTAAGATGAGTTGTTGCTTCTCCTGGAGGCAGTGATTGCCTTTATGTTTTTATTTGCGTCGTCTTCTGCCTCCACTGCCTGGCCCTGCCGCTGCCTGGATGGTTCCCCCAGAGCCCTAACCCTCTCCGCCCACGCTGTGTGGGCTGCACGGCTGCAGCCCTGCGTGTCTCCCTGATGCCGGGTCCTGGTGTCTATTTCAGGTGTTGGATCATCTCGCCCCCTGAGCCCCTTCTTCCTTTTTTTAATCTCCATTTTCTATCCAGCATGTCTTCTGGTAGCTTCTTGAGAAAAGACGTGCCCAGGAAATAAATTTTCAAGCCCTTATTGGACATTTTACTCCTGTGGTTTGGCTTGGTTGGGGTGGAATTCTAGATCAGAAGTGGTTTCCGTTTAGCCATTTTGTAGGCATTGCTCATTATCCTCTACTCCTGGTGCTGCTGCAGGACAGTCTAGTGCTTGCTGGTTTTTCTTTGTGACTGCTTTTCCCTTCTGGAAGCTTTTAAAAGATGTTCTCCCTGTCCCTGAAGCTCAGACATTTCAGGACGAATCTTGTGCGTCCTTTCCACCGTTAATTACACTGGGTGGAGTGAGAGGCGTGGTTCCAGTCTGGAAGTGCCTGCCCTGAGCTCTGCGGGCCTCTCTGGAGCACGATCCGATCCGCAGAGCCCTCCACCCCACCTCCTGGTCCTGGAGCTCCTACCCCCGGAGCCCCTGCCCCCAGAGCCCCTGCCCCCGGAGCCCCTGAAGGCGGCCTCTCTGCTCTGGCTCCCCCACCCTTCTCTGAGCTCTGTCTCTCTTGCTAGAGGTCTCCCTCTGAGTGGGGTCCTGCCTGGCTGCCGACCTTCAGGTAGTTCACAGGCTGTGGTGCAGCCCGTTTGGAGGCCTGCAGTCCTGAGTTGGGCGCCTGGTGGGGGCCGCCCCTCCCCCATCTGAGCTCCTCCCTGCTGCCCCTCAGGTGCCAGCCGCCTGGGCTCTCCTCCAGCGTCTGGCGCCCTGGACATCTCATCTCTGGCGCTGTCTACCCTCCTGCTTCTGTCCCTGAGGATGTAAAACAGTTGATTTTCTTTTCCTATCCTGTTAAGGGCTGAGGGTCCAGGGGAAGCAGAGGTGAATCCAAAGGCCCACCCTCCTCACTTGCTCTCTCCATCACCTTCGTCTTGGGAGCGTCCTAGTAATTCCAGACCGTGCTTTGATCATAGTTTCAGCATTACTTCCCTTCTCGTTCCACCTTTTACCCAAATAGCCTGCAGCTGGTGAGACTAAGGAAGCTGACTTGCCCTCCCAGCTCCCACACCAGGCACGTGGACAGACCTGGAGCCACCAGGGCCCGGCTCCTCGGCTTTTGGCCTCTGTGGCTGCTGCTCTGAGAATTCATCTTCCTTTGCAGATACCCTTTGGTATAAAAAAGGCCAGCCTGCAGGTGTTTGTTGTTTACAAACAGGCATCGTCTGCAGTCGGTGCACACACACACACGTGCACTTTGAATCTGCTGCTCTTCTGCCTTTAGAACTGCCACCAGCCTTCCAAGGAAACTCAAAATGCTTGCTGTCATTTCACTCTTGTGGCAGCGTTTCAGCCCAGGCCTCTGACCTGGCTGTGTGCTCGCCTGGGTGCAGATAGCTCTGGGATCGGTGTGCCTGGGGACCTCACAGGGCGACAGCAGGTCTGGGGTCGGGTGACATTTAGGGTGCAGTCCCATCCACCGGCCAGGCTTGACCTGACTCCCTTTGGGGTGGATCAGGCATCCCCCCGCCTTCCCCTGGTGGGTCTCCTGAGCCAGGATGGGCTTAAATAAACAAGCTCCCCACCCACCATGGGAGGAAACTTGGCCTTACCCTAAGGTGGCTACATGCTGTGGCCACACACCCCAACCCCAGATTCAGCCCTTGGAAAATGCCTGAACCCCTGGTCTGAGATCAGGATCGGGTGTCAGCCCCCAGGCTTTGGACCCTCCTCAGGGTGGTCTCTGGGTCTGGGGTGGGCAGCTTCCTGCCCCAGGAGTGGCGTCAGGAGCTCATGTTTAGGTCAAGGTCATGGATGTTAAGAGGAGTGATTAGATGGCAACTTGATGGCCTGTCCTCCCCTGGTCCTTGGGATTCAGCGCCCTCGGGGAATTGAGTGAAATCCACAGATATGCGCTGATAGGTACCCCCCAGGGCACAGTTGGGGATTGTGGTCTACAGGGATAAAGATGCCCTTCCTTTTTGTTCCCCTGAGAATGTTTCTGGAAAAGAAATGTAAGGAATGCGCAAGCTCAGTCAGTGCTGAAAAGGAAATAGAACTTCATATGTTTGGTAAAGAGACTGTACTTTTTTTTTTTTGGCCATGTGGCACGGCATGCGGGATCTTATTTCCCCAACCTGGGAACGAATCCGGGCCTGCTGCAATGGAAGCACAGAGTCCTAACCACTGGACCACCAGGGAAGTCTTGAGAGTGTACTTTTTAACAGTGTTTTATTGAACTGGCTCTGTGCTGTGTCCTTAGTTATGTGACAGCCTGCAGATCCCCATTCTGTAGCATAGGGACGGTGCCTAGCTTCCTCAGGGTCGCACAGCACTGAGGCTCCTCCCGCATGTGTCAGAGCCAAGGGCCTGTGCCCTTTTCACACTCGGCCCCCAGAGGCCCCGAGTGTGTCTTGCCGTGGCTGCCCCAGGAGGTGTGCCTGGAAGTCAGAGATGGAGAGGGCATGGAAGTCACGGTGTGCCCACAGGTCGTGACCTTGAATTAATGTTTCACGGCTCGGGAAAGATGAGATTATTTCATATCACCGAGAGGAGTGACGTCCTGTTTTATTGCCCAAGTTCAAAGTATCTTGGCCCAGTAGCTGGTAGGGAAGGAGGACGGGCCCGTTGGGCTCCACAGACTATGGCCTGTTCACCCAGCCCTAGGTAGTGGTGTCCTGCCCGGAGTCCCCTTCGGTGGAGACCTGGCTGCCTGTGCTGGTTCTGCTTTCCAGACCAGCCTGGGGGTGTTCATGTGTACAGGCCTGGCCGCGAAGTTGTCCACCTTCTTTGCTCTCCTTGCTCTGCTGAAGGACCTTCTCTGGACAGGGCTGTCGTTTATTCTCCCCAGGCACCTGCATCAGTCAGGGGCCCTGACCATGGAGGCCCTGCAGGACCCTCCCCCAGACCCTGTGGAGGGCATGGAAGAGGACATTGCTGACAAGGTAGGCCCTGGGTGGATGGCAGGGCCGGAGGGCCACGTGTGGACAACTCAGTGGCTTCAGGCGCAGGCCTCCGGTGGGTGTGTTGAGTGAGGTGCGCAGAGGGCACAGTGGGAGGTGGTGATGGCGCTGGCAGGGCTGCGCCGTCCACCAGCCCTGATGACCTCTGGCGGGTTTCCTCGGGTTGGCAGCCGTGGGGTGAACAGGAGAGGTGTCACGTTGTCCGTGGAGAGGTGCCGGCCGGGGAGGCGGGAGGGCCCGCAGCCTGCAGTGATCCTAGAGCCAGGACGGTGGAATCGGCCACTCCTGAGAGGTTGCCGGGGGCAGGGCAGCCTCCCCGTGGCCAAGGCCCCGGGGCTCCAGGACCAGCTCCAGAAAGTGCAGGGGCAGGGTGGCCACAGACACCCCCCCCCCACCTTCTCTCCCACCTCCTTCTGTCCCCTCGCCCACCTCACCCTGCCCCCCACCTCCTGGACCTCTACAGCACCTCCAGCATCTCAGCTCTGCAGAGCCCTCCCCAGCTCTCCAGTCTGGCCGTCATGCCTCCCACCGCCTGGTGAGCGTGTCTGGCTTCAAACCCCGGGCCTTTCTGTCACTCGAGTTCCCAGCGTGAGCCGCCCCTGTGGGCTGTGTCTGGCGGAACAGTGGCCCTGCCTGCGGCCCCTGAGCTCCTTTGCCTTTGAGGGTCGAGGGCACCACGTGCTCCCCCGTCCTCACTGGTGCCCATAGAGCTGCGCTGCCTCGTTCACGGGGCGTCTCCAGCCTGGTGGGCATGGTGTCCAGGACAGTCTGCGTGGGGCACACACTCTCCCACCCCCTTGATTCTCAAGCCACCATCTTGCTCCCCAGGTTGTCTTCCTGGAGAAGCGAGTGTCAGAGCTGGAAAAGGACACGGCTGCCAACGGGGAGCAGCACAGCCGGCTGAGGCAGGAGAACCTCCAGCTGGTGCACAGGTGAGCGCAGCCTCTTAGTGCCTGTGGGATGTGATCCGCCCCCTGGTCGTTCTCCTCCCCTCAGGTTCTCTGAGCCCCACCCTCCATTCAGCTGCTGGGGGTGAGCAAGGCTCCTGCGGCCACAGACCCCCCCCCCCCACCTTCTCTCCCACCTCCTTCTGTCCCCTCGCCCACCTCACCCTGCCCCCCACCTCCTGGACCTCTACAGCACCTCCAGCATCTCAGCTCTGCAGAGCCCTCCCCAGCTCTCCAGTCTGGCCGTCATGCCTCCCACCGCCTGGTGAGCGTGTCTGGCTTCAAACCCCGGGCCTTTCTGTCACTCGAGTTCCCAGCGTGAGCCGCCCCTGTGGGCTGTGTCTGGCGGAACAGTGGCCCTGCCTGCGGCCCCTGAGCTCCTTTGCCTTTGAGGGTCGAGGGCACCACGTGCTCCCCCGTCCTCACTGGTGCCCATAGAGCTGCGCTGCCTCGTTCACGGGGCGTCTCCAGCCTGGTGGGCATGGTGTCCAGGACAGTCTGCGTGGGGCACACACTCTCCCACCCCCTTGATTCTCAAGCCACCATCTTGCTCCCCAGGTTGTCTTCCTGGAGAAGCGAGTGTCAGAGCTGGAAAAGGACACGGCTGCCAACGGGGAGCAGCACAGCCGGCTGAGGCAGGAGAACCTCCAGCTGGTGCACAGGTGAGCGCAGCCTCTTAGTGCCTGTGGGATGTGATCCGCCCCCTGGTCGTTCTCCTCCCCTCAGGTTCTCTGAGCCCCACCCTCCATTCAGCTGCTGGGGGTGAGCAAGGCTCCTGCTGAGGGCTCTCCCCAGAGGAAAGGGCGAGGGAGGGACCTCTCAGGGGAAGCCAGGGCCGACACCCTGCCTGCAGAGTGCCCGGCTGGGATTCCCATCTGGGGGTGTCTGGCGTGTGCCCCACTTCCAAGACCTGTCCTGACCAAAGGTGCGCCCCCCACCCCACGCAGCCTTGCTTCATCTCTGCATCTCCTGAACAAGGAAACCAAGGCAGCAAATGGGGGCTCTGGGGCGGGGCCAGTGCCTCCGGAGCTCCCTGTGCTCGGGTACTTGACCCACCCTTGAAGCACGGGGTCCTCATGGGGTGTAGCAGTGCGACCGAGCCCCACGTGGGAGCCGCGAGCTCTGAGTTAGAAATAACAGCCGTGTGGAAGTCGGTATAAGGAGGGAGCCGGTGCTTCCCCATCTCCTGTTTTGCAGACTTTTCACAGCACATGATGTGGTTTTCGGTGTTGGGAAGCCGGTCACGCTGTGTACCTCACCCCAGTTTGCAGCACTTCTCCTGCAGAGGACAAGGGACTTGGCCTGTGTGCAGCCAGAGGCTTGGGGTCACAGACCCCTTTCAAGAGGTCCAGAGGCTGGGAGCACGGCATGTGGTCTGGGCGAAGCCTGGCCCTGCCGAACCCTCTGCAGCCCCAGGCTCCTCGCCCTCCGAGCACTTGTACCAGCGCTGGACACGGGCCCCGAGGCTCTGGGGGACGCTGGCCTCCTGTTGTGGCTTCTCCTGGGCGAGATGGGCCTTCGTGACCTGTCCTCCTGCTCTTGGAGGCTGGGAACCAGGATGTGCCATGTTGTCCTGGGCGCCTCGCCCACTGCTATAACAGAGCAGCAGAAGCACGTTCTCCTGTGTGGTCGAGACCCTGGCTCGGGGGCCACCTGCTTTCCTGCCCGTGGCCCTGCTGCAGAGCCAGGGGTGGGGTCTGCCCTGCTCGTGCGAGGGCTGGGGCTCCAGTGCTGCGTCTGCAGGATGTTCCTTACTCCCTCCCTGTCCTTGTCCAGGGAGATCTGGATGGGCCACCAGACTCCTTTCTCCAGCTGACCAGAGGTTCATCTCATCCAATGGGCATTTATCAGTTATCCACGTTTGTGGTGGAAAGTCCACACTCTGTGCCCTGCCCGGCCACCCAGCCCCAGGGCCTGTCATATCCACTTCTGGGGCCGTTTCTGCCAGTGTTTTCCTAAGTTCCCCTCAAGCACACACTCCTGCCGCTGCTGCTTGGCGTTTCCCAGCCACACTGACCTGCCACACTGCTCTCCTTTCCCTCCATCCTAGGAGTTCCACCTGCTTTCTCCACATCTGGTTTCTTATTCTCCAGATCCCGCATTTCTTCTTTGCTTACTCGCTTTCTGAGCAGATGCCCTACTCGCAGCATAGGAGCCAGGCTTCCTAAACCCTCACGTGTCTGAAAACGGGGTTGTGTCGTGTCCCCCCTCCACCCCCACCATCGATAGTGTGGCTGAGTCTGGGATCCCGCTGGGAGCTGGGTCCCTGGAAGCCAGCTCCGCTGCCATCTGTCCCGTCTGTGACCAGGGCCCTGGCACCGCTGGGCTCACTGCTCTGTGAGGTCCTATTCTCTCCCGATGCTGTGAGGGTCTCTTGTTGTTTCCTGTGCTGAGGGCATGTGGTTTCCAGCCTTTAAATCTGGAAAACGTGTCTCTCAGAGTTTCTTCCATTTTCTTGTCTGTCTGAACTTCTGTTAATCAGATATCAGACCTTATGGACCTTCCTTCTCATTTCTTTTACTTCCTTATTCTCTAACTTTCTCATTTTTCTTTTTTTCTGTGTAATAATCTTTGGTTTTCTCCTTCAGTTATTCTATTGAATTTAAAATTTTGTCGTGTCACAGTTTTAATGGCTAAGAGTTACTTCTGTTACCCATTCCTTCTGCGACAGCTGCTCCTATTTCATGGACGTGGTGTCTCAGGCCTCTGAGGGTGATAGTTACAGGGCTTCTGTAGTGTTCCCCACACGATGTGTGTCTCCTTCAGGTCGTTTTTTCTGTTTGCTTTGGCCACTTTGTATTAAGAGCTTTCCTGTGATGTCTGGTGGTCTTTGGCTGGCTGTTCACTCTTGGGCGCGAAGCACCAAAAAGCAGATGAGAAGCCCTGTGTGGACGGGCAGCTTGGAGGCATGGGCTCCGGCCGTCCACAGGCAGGGCCTGGAGCCCTTCTCTGTGGTTTGGTCCGTTCCTGTCTCCTGCACTTGGGAGTGGTGGTCTGGGAAGAGGCCAGGGTCAGGGTCCCCATGTGTACCTTCCTTCTGTCCCCATGTTCTTGCTATACCTGCCTTCGAGTCTGCCACGGCTGACCTGGGTGGGGTGGGTCTGTACACCATGTCTCCAGCCTGGACTATCAGTGCAAGGTGCCCTGGGGCCAGGCACCTGGTGGGCTTGTGCCCGGGAGGGTCTCCTGCCCACACCCAGCGAGCAGGAGGCAACTGTGGGTGCAGGCCAGGATGGGGGTAAGTCCCCCTGGGAATGATGGGGACTGTCCTTGCCGTCAGGACTGTGCCGTGGTCTGAAGGCCAGGCACCCTCTGTGAGGTGAAGGCTGTCTGGGGGATACATGTCCTGCTTCAGAACTGCCCTTGACTAGAGCTGTGGGCCATTGGGGGACGTCTCAGTGCCTTCCTGTCCCCCCTCTGGGCAGGGCTGCTCTCTCCAGCTCCGGGCGCAGCATCTCAGGACGGTTTCTCCCCTCCCCCTCTGCCTTGCAGAGCCAACGCCCTGGAGGAGCAGCTCAAGGAGCAGGAGCTGAGAGCCTGCGAGATGGTCCTGGAGGAGACACGCAAGCAGAAGGAGCTCCTGTGCAAGATGGAGCGAGAGAAGAGCATCGAGATCGAGAACCTGCAGGCCAGGTGGGGGAGAGGGGGGAACGGGGGACCCGTGGGCCAGGTTGGGGAGAGGGGGACGGGGGACCCGCAGGTTAGGTGGGGGAGAGGGCTGATGACAAATGCAGCTGGGCTCTCACCACAACAGCTGGCCACCCCAGGAGGGCACGATACCTAGGAATAAATTTGATTTTATGAACAGTGGAAAAACCTTTGTGAAGAAAACTAAAAAACTCTACTGAAGGCCACAAAGTATTTGAAGACAAAGACTGACACTACCTGGATGTCACTTTCTCTAATCTTTCTCCAGTGGATGCTGCACCATTCAAAATCAAAGTCAAAATCTTTTTTTAAGGCAACTTGAGAAAATTACCCCTATGCTCCCCTGAAGGCATAAGCCTTAGATGAGTCAGGAAAAGGGGAGCATACTCTGTGCAGACACCCCACAAAGGCACAGCAGTGGACCAGGAACTCAGGCTGGGGGCGTCCACTCACGGTGACACGTGGATCTCAAACGTTGTTTGTCAAAGAAAACCAGCAGAGAACCTAGATGTCCACAAGTTAACAGTCACCTGGAGGTTCCTGCTCATCCTCCCTCTGCAGAGCTCGCTCCTGGGGGGGTAGTGACGGGGAGGCGGGTATTTCACAGTCTTTTTAACTGAATGGGCACCACTCTCAGCCTTCATCGTGCAGCCATTTTACCCTCGTGAACGACAACTTTAGGCTCTTTAGCATGTGTTTATCTCCAGCTCTTAAAGCTGGAAAATACATTTTGACACATTTTCAACAGTGGGAGGTGGCAGGAGGGGCTGCACACAGAGCTGTGCTGGGGTCTTCCTGGACGGGAGGCCTCCCCGGGGGCTGGCCTGCGGTGTCACCTCCCGGGAAAGCCTTCTTCCTGGGCCTCGGCACAGTGCTATCCAGTGGACCTGCAGGCCACAGCCTCTCCGTGGGGCCCTGTCCACCGGGCGGTGGGTGCCTAGGGGCGGGCCGTCCTGCCTCCCGTGTCTGCCAGCACCAGAGCCTGCACGGCAGGGGGCAGCCTGCTGGCCGAGTGGGACAGCAGCTGCAGGGGCCCAAGGTGGACAGGGCCTCATGAGGCCCTCACAGAGCAAGATGGGACTCGGGGTCACCGCTGCCTGCTCTTTGCACCTCAGTTAGCAGCTCCATGTGCCTGGGCCCTGGTGGCCTCCCTCAGCTCCCTGGGGTTCTTGCGGGGGTGAGGACAGTGGGGCCATGGAAGGAACTGGGGATTCTTGGAGAAGGGCTGGGTCTGTGGCTGGGACAGAGGAAAACCGGCAGAGCTGCCAGGAAGCAGGGAGGTGCTTGAACAGAAGCACACACAGACGACGGTGTGTCATGGCTCCCAGTGGGCATAGCTGGGGCACAGTAGGAACTGCCATCCAGAGTGTAACCCAACGTGGTCTCCTGCAGAGGAGACCAAATAACACGCAGACATGTCCGCTTGGGGGTCCCTGGAGCGTGGACTGGACCCCATGACTGGCCTCCAGACGACGGAGAAGGAACAGGAAAAGGAGAACTTGACAGAGGAGACACCTGGCAGACACACCCCAACCAGGCGATCCAGGTCAACGTCATCCATGATGCGAAGGGCACCTCTCCTCTGTGGGATTCTCCCCGAACCCACAACCTGTCCAGTCACGAGAAGACACCAGACATACCCAGTCTGAGGGACATTTTACCAAATACATGACCAGACCTGCTCAGAACTGTCAAGGTCATGAAGAGCCTGGGAAGTCCAGAGATTGCTGCAGACCAGAGGGGACAGAGGAGCCATGATGGCTAATGTGGTGCGGGGACACCAGACGGGAAGGAGCGCTGGTGGGAAAGCTGTGTTGAGTCCATGGGTTGGTCATTTGCATTTCCAGTGTGGGTGTGATGAACGCCACGATGGTGAGCAGATGCCTGGAGAAGCCGAAAGGGGCTCAGGGTCCGTGGAACTCGCTCTGTGTCTGCAGCTTCTCTGTAAACCGGAGGTGTGTGGAGACACCATCCTGGCTTACGAGAAGCTTTGGCCCAGGGCCCTTGTGTGGGTGCGTGTGGTGGTCGGGGGACAGCTCTCCGGGTCCCAGCCTTGTTCTTGTGCCCCAGGCTGCAGCAGCTGGACGAGGAGAACAGTGAGCTGAGGTCCTGTATGCCCTGCCTGAAGGCCAGCATCGAGCGCTTGGAGGAGGTAAGCTGCTGGCCGGGCTCTCCCCGCCCTCCACCTTGGGTGACTTTGGGCCATCGGGACCTGAGACAGGTTCTCCAAAGCAGGGCAGCCGCACTGTTGGCCAATGGGCCTGCGGGGGTGTGGCTGCAGGCCAGGAAGCTGTGCTGCTCGAGAGCAGGCTGGTGGCCCCGGGGGTGAGGCAGCCAGGACACACTGGGCCTGGCCATCCCTTTCCTGGAAGATGCGTGACCCTGCCTGGCTTCCCGGCATCCTTGGGCCTGAAGAGTCACACATAGATTAACCCCTGGTTTGAATCTAGGATGATGTCCTTGAGGGGCTGACTTCAGCTTGACCCCTTGTGCCCCGTGGTCCCCTCCCCACCCAGGGACCCCTGGGCAACTCTGCACCCTGAGGACATCTGAGAGCACTTGGGCTCTGGCCTCCTCCCAGAAACAGTCCCAGGCGCCTCACAGGCCCACCTGCCATGTTTCGGGCGCAGACAGCTGAGGAGAGCTGCATGGATGGGCGGCAGACGGGCATGTCTCCGGCAACTGTTTCGTTCTTGCAGGAGAAGCAGAAGCTGCTGGATGAGATTGAGGAGCTGTCTCTGCGGCTCAGTGAGGAACAGGAGAACAGGAGGAAGCTGGGGGACAGGCTGAGCCACGAGAGGCACCAGTTCCAGAGGGACAAGGAGGCGACCCAAGAGGTGAGCACAGAGCCCCGGGGTCCCCCCGCCATTGGCGTTCAGACCGCCCCAGAGGTCCTGAAGCCAAGCTGAGCCAACCCCCGCTGCTGCAGCTGATCGAGGACCTGCGCAAGCAGCTGGAGCATCTGCAGCTCTTCAAGCTGGAGGCCGAGCAGAGGAGGGGCCGCAGCAGCAGCGCAGGCCTGCAGGAGTACAACAGCCGCACGCGGGAGAGTGAGCTGGAGCAGGAGGTCCGGAGGCTGAAGCAGGTGTGGGCTGGGCTCACGCTTCCGGGGGCCGACATGGGGGCGCGTGGGGGCCGGTGCCCGAGTTGGTGGTCCTGCCTCGGCCCAGAAGTGACGCCCCGTGTCCCCCAGGACAACCGCAGCCTGAAGGAGCAGAATGATGAGCTCAACGGGCAGATCATCAACCTGAGCATCCAGGGCGCCAAGAACCTCTTCTCCACGGCCTTCTCCGAGTCTCTAGCCGCAGAGATCAGCTCCGTCTCCCGCGACGAGGTAACGCCCCGCCCCGTCCCCTGCGGGCGTTCGCAGTCTGGGCACTTGGCACCGACCCCCTGGCTCCTCCCACAGCTCATGGATGCCATCCAGAAGCAGGAGGAGATCAACTTCCGCCTGCAGGACTACATCGACAGGATCATCGTGGCCATCATGGAGACCAACCCGTCCATCCTGGAGGTCAAGTAGTGCCACTCAGTGGGGCTCCAGCACAGCACACATGCAGCCGAGACCGAGGTCCCTCACCCACCGTGGAGCACACAGCTGGGCGGGGTGGGGCAGGGCGGGGGAGGAGGGATGCTGGGACCGGAGCCTGCGGTGGCTCTGGCCTCTCGCTATGCCCTCCTTTCTGCAGAGAATGAGGGACAGTCTCTCAGGCTGGGGTGAACCCCTCTGTGACCTCTCCCACGCTTCCTGCCTTGTCAGGGAAAAAAGGAATGAAATGGGTCCCCGCCGGGGGTGCTGCTCCCTGTGCCCGCCAGGCACCCTGACCTGGTGCCATCCAAGTCTCAGCCGCTCCTGGATGGCATAGAAGCCCCAGGACCCTGGCGCCAGACATGGTGGGGCAGGGGGAGGACAAGCAGGAGAGGCCAGTGTGTGTCAGGGTCTGGCCAGGAGCTGCAGGGCCCCCCCCACCAGCTTTCCTGGAGCTGCTCAGACTGGCACCCAACCAGAAGGGGCCCCTTGGTCCAGCTTCAGGCCCAGGGGCCTGTACACCACGGGCCTGTGCTCATGGCCAGCCTCTCGCTGCAGTAACCCTGGGCGCTGACGCTCCTGTGACTTGAGAGTCATGGCGTGGAATGTGCTGTCTGTATCGGGTGGGTGTTGCTGTTCCCCTCTGACCCTGGGGGTTCAGGCAGGGCTGTGGCTCCCAGGGGTGTGTCCTCTCCTCCCTGTGCGGATCTCCGCTGGCCCGAGGAAACTAAACGTCTGGAACCAGTTTCCTCTGGGAGTTTGAGGTCTTTAGGAGTCGTCCTGTCTCCACAAGGTGCACTTTGCAGGAGGCTGGGGCGGGCAGGCTCTCACAAGTACACAGTTCAAGGCCTTCCTGGTGGCTTGGGGGCTCCTTCAAGGAAGCCCCTGCCCGGCACCTGCACTGCCAGGAGCAGCAGCATCACCCATAGGGGCTGCTGGGTCTGCCCCCCGAGCCTGAGCGCCAGCCAGGAGCTTCCGGGTGCTCCCAGTTGGGCCAAGACCCTGCACACAGGCGGGCCACTGTTGTGTGCGAGCGCATACGTGAGGGTGTGTGTGTGCGTGCGTGCGTGAGCAAGCATGTGTGTGGCTGTGTCCCTCCACGTGGCCCACCTTCTACACTAAGATTTAAGACGTTGCCTCGTATTGTATATTTTGGGGAAAGCTTTGGGTGTAAATCAATGTAAACTTGGAGGAGAGATTTTTCTATCGTGTAGAGTAGGTATTTTTTATAGATTGAAGGTTGATCAATTTTTTAATACTTCTAAGAGAGAAAACTATCTGTGTATACACATGAAATATATATATGTACGATAATAAACACTGGAACTCTGCTCCCCGCCCAGCTGTGCCCCGCCACACAGACTGGGTCTGTTTTTGTGAACACAAGCTGCTCTGAGACCTTCACGCAGACGCCGGGCACTGGCTGGCACGCTGACCCTGTTTTCACCCCCTCGAGAAGGATCTCCAGGCCGAGCAACAGTGGCCTGGATGACGTAGGAGCATGAGGCCAGGGGCCCCAGCACCGATGAAAGTTGGTGCTGCATCTGAGGGGGCTGAGGGGCAGGCCAGGAGCTCCCCATGGCGTCATCTGGGCTTGGACAGCAGGAGGCCTTCTGGTCCAGCCAACCCCTCTCAGAGGCAGCAGGATTCCCCCTCCTGGCTGGGCCCACAGGGGAGTCCAACTGGGGATGCTCCTGGGGTGGGGCAACGTGGTGGGGCCCCAGGGCCATGTGTTCATGGTAGGGGACAGCCCCCAAGTGCAGCCTGGCTGCTGACATGGTGCTGAGGGCCAGCCAGGCCGAAGTGGGTAGGGGCAGACACAGTACCAAAGGAAGGCACAGGAAAGGCAAGGGCACCATGGGATTGGGCAGGAAAGGCTTGGCAGGGAAGCCAGGGAAGGAGAACTCAGGTGCCAGTGCAGTCATGGGGATGCCACCAAGGAGCTTCTAAGGGTGAGTGACCAAATCTGACTTGAAGGGGGGCTGTTAGCTAAAAGTCCCCTAAACTTGATTCCTTGGCCCAGGCATCTCCCACCCCCTAGCAAGGAGCTACCTGTGTACCAGACACAGATGGAGAAACTGAGTCTCCACCCGACCACCCAGTGGGGCAGAGAAGGGTTTGAGCCCAGGTCTGCTGCCCACTCAGCCCCCCGGGTGATGACAGGTTGGCCTGGCCTGCAGCAAGCAGGGCCCCCAAGGCCTTGTCCTCAGCTGGGGGTGTGGCATTAAGACTCTTTGAGGGTCACCAGGAGCCCTGGGTGCTGTGTGAGTAGCACCGAAGGAGCAATTGGAGGGTGTGGATGTGTCGCAGGAGTTCCTGCCTGGAGCCGGCATCCCTGCCAGGATTCGGGGGAGGGCCTGGAGAGGATGCAGGCCCCCAACCATGCTCCTGGGCCTCAGAGGGGGTAGCTCCCCAGAGTCAATACATACATCATCAAGTTCATTAGTGGGGGGCTTCCCTGGTGGCGCAGTGGTTGAGAGTCCGCCTGCCGACGCGGAGATGTGTTTCTAATGTAAGAAAAGTTATCTTTGGTAATAGCTCTGTTCCTGGCACAGGCTCCCTATCTAATTTCTTTTCGGCAATTAAGAGGGAGATAAAAAGCTCTTCTTGGCTTCCCTGGTGGCACAGTGGTTGAGAGTCTGCCTGCCGATGCAGGGGACAGGGGTCCGTGCCCCGGTCCGGGAAGATCCCACATGCCGCGGAGCGGCTGGGCCCGTGAGCCATGGCCGCTGAGCCTGCGCGTCCGGCCAACAGGAGAGGCCACAACAGTGAGAGGCCCGTGTACTGCAAAAAAAAAAATTAGTGGGGCTGGGACTTGTACCTGGTCACCCCCAGGGCCCAGTGCTTGCCAGGTGCAACCAGTGGGCCACGTGGCCAGGGCAGCCAGGGAGGGCAGCATTGTGGTGGGACCTGGGGTGCGGGCTTCACCCCCAGACTCCTGGTGGAGTTGCACAAGGGGGCCGGCTCAGCACTGGGTGTGCCAGAGTGCTCCAGCAGGTTCAGGAGGTCAATGGGGGCCTGGGAGGGCCTTGTCCCTAGCCTTGCTGCACTGGGGACATCTCTGCTGACCTGGGAGGAGGCCAGTGCCTCTGCTTTGACACCGGGTGATGTCCCGGGTCTGTCCGTCGGGAGCTTGAAGGGCCCGTCTCTGCCTAGGAGAAGAAGCTGGGTGTGGGGAGAGGCCTTTCCATCAGGTGTAGCCAAAACCAGGAAGGAGCTCCTCCCCATACCCTACTGAGGCCTGCCAACCCGTTCCATTTCCACTCTCAAACGTGGGGGCCTGTCTGCAGTCCAGCTGGTCCCACCAGCCAAGGCTGAGATCCTTGCCCTGGTCCTGCAGGGGTCCCAGCCCTACTAGAGACAGAGCCCCCCTTGGGACAGGGTGGGGTGGGAGAACACATGACAAAAACCCATTGTAAATGGAAATGGCAGCGCCTCGCTGCTGCACAGGAAGAGCTTCCCGGAGAGCCCAGGCAGGTGGCCCAGGCAGAGTGTGCCCAGAGAGTGCTGGAGGGGACTGCGGGGTACACGTGAGGCCACTGTCAAAAGTGCATCTCTC